GAAATTTTAATCAAGATTTTAATCAAAATTCTAGCCGTTAACTATCAAATCAGCCACCATTTTGACTTTCTCTCTCACAGGTGGGGCCCACAGGTAGACTATAACGACTATAATTTTGATTAAAATTGCTCCCAAACACGTTCTTAAGATCTTCAATTTTTTTACTTTCCAACTTTTCTCGTCATCGCAAGTTTATCTTCAACCTTTTATAATTAGCACGTATCTTTCATAATGATTTTCGCCCGAAAAGTCCTTTGAGATGACATAAAGTATTAATTACTTTAAATTGTGTTTAATGACGTCAACCTTTATTTGGTTATTATATTTTTTTTCTTAATTTATTAATGCATTTAAACGGTTTTATTTTTCTTAATTTTAATTTAAACATAAATAAATTGTTTTATTTTTAATAAATTTAAATTTTTATCTTTTTTTATGTAGAGTTATTTCATCTCTTTGTGAATATTGAGTTCTCATTTAATGGACAAAATAAAATTGATCTAATATATTTAATAAAATGATGAACTAAAAATAATATTTAAACATTTGCTGCAGCTAACTATTGCATTTCTAATATTATGATAATATTAATTTAATTTTCTAAACTAGGTACAACGTAATTGTACAAAGTATAAAAATACAAAAAAATTGAGAAAATGCAACTAAATATAGCAATATAAAACATCTAATGAATTTTCAACTTGCTTTATTAAATTATTCTATAACATTTGTTTATGTTGATTTATTAATTATTGATCGATGGTGTTTGAAAAAGGAATCCTATTTAATTATATTTATAATAAGATTTATTATTGACTTTTTTTTTTTTACCTGAAATGGTTTCATCTACACTATAATATAAGAGTAGAACGGAAATTATATTTACTTTTAGTCGATATGGGAACATGTTACAATCAATAATATATCTTCTATCTATATATTAAAGTAGTTATGTAACGAAATTTCTTGTTTTTAACGGAAAACTAACAGAATTTATTGTTTTAACGGACTATATAACGAAATTTTTTGTTTTAAACAGGCAGCTGCACCTTCTTTCAGTGTTTTTATTATAACTTTATATTCTGATATTCGATTGAGGTGATTCAAAATGAGTTGGAAAGATAACTCATCTGGCTACAACTTTAATTCAGACATCATTATCCAATTCGATCACTTTCTATGTCAAAAATATGTCTCAATATAATGGACTATGTAACAGAATTTC